CAATCCTTTAAATTTCAAATTAAATAAAAGATCAAACAGGCATAAAGACACGACAGACAGACAGACAGACAGACCCCTAATGGATGGAGGGATAGATGGAAGGATGGAAAGATGAATGTATGTTTTGAAGATGTAATATATAAAAAACAAGCACACTGAAGCTCAGACTGGGACATGAAAAGTCAACAGAAGAGAAAAATAACAAAAGCAGAGGTAAGGGGCATGAGAAATACAATTAAGAGATTTCAGTATTAATTTTTCAATGAAAAGCAAAATCATCAAATATAAATTGCAAACACAAGCTGAGAATTCACTCAAAGAGTAGATACAGTACAGAGGCACTCAGAATAATAAATAGTAAATAGAAAAAAAGAGACTTGAAGTATTCTGGTGAAAAAATTGTAGGAAAATATTAAGTCAAAGTATAATATGCATAGATGAGTGACCATTGAATAAAATCCTGTATTTTTTTTGTAATAACAAAAACAGTCCAAAATAAGCTTGGTACTGGTCAACTTTTGCTTTTACCTGAGTACATAGGCACAGAAAACTAGACAAGTGGTAGCCCAAAAATGGGACAATAAATTGAACCTTTTTTTTTAAATCATAGGAAATAGAATGATTATCATCACAAAATAACAGACCTTACATATTGGATACTTAAAAATTTACCCTCCTAGTGTCGACGGATGATTAAATCGGCCTTAACCTTCCTTCTGTGATGTCGCGGCCGATTTAACTGGCAGTAATTTAAGTCGCTATATCATTATCAGTTAATTTCTCCCCTTTTTTATTATATCACAAACATTTTAACTCCCTCATAAATGAGCTCTACATTCTATTTACATTTCACTTTCAGAAAATATATAAGTTTATGGTCTTTCTCGCTTGATTTGCCTGTTCTCAAGCATTTTTCAACATAATATGAGAGGCATCATCATGAGATCAGGCGCTCGTCAAAATAATGAAATCTAAGAAAACGGCATTTTTTTCTGCCCGTTGAGCACTTTTTATTGATTTTTTTTCCTTCGGGCTCAACACCTTTTATGTCCATTTAAAACACATTTGAGTATGGAATTTACTGAAAACTGTTAATCAAAGGCACAAAAAATGAACATTTGCAGTTTCCAAGGACTTTCAAGCTGCGGTAGTTTCCAAATTTTGGCGGTCATTTTCTAGTTAAATTTACCTCTGCTACCAGGCGACCCCAACCTCCTTTAAACGCAAATAACTCTACTTCTTTTCAAGACAGACGGGTATTTTTTTAATCAAAAGCAGGACAAATGCCAAAAATTGACAAGCGCCTGATTCCATCGTGTCATGACACATGTGGTGAAATCATATAACTTCCCTTGACACTACAGGCTATTTGTTAGCGACACTTAGAGGGTTAAAGGACACTTAAAACAATAGGAAAATGCATTGAACATTATCACAACATAACAAACAATATCATACAAGCTTTAGAAATTCAATATTCTTTGAACATTTAGAAAACATACCAGCCGCGTCCCTCTCATCACCATACACCCAAGTAAGGGGGTGAAGACCACTGCTGTTAACTGACCAGACCACCATATAGCCACTGCATGAACCACCTTCAACCTTCCATTGACACAATTTATTCTCTTCTAGATGTTGTCAGAATTACAGCATTAATACCAGCTTAGCTAAAACCTATGACATATATTCACTTTTATCACACAATCGTTATGGGTAAAAAGTAACAGGAAATATTGGACCATTTTAAAATCAACCTGGTAACAACAAAGTGGAACAGATGGTACCACCAGATGAAAAAGAATTTCGTCTGATTTCACAACAGAAGTAAAACAAGCAACAACAGCAAACACTAGAAAATAATATATTTATATATCAATTCACATCAACATTCTTAATCACGGGTCTGTCACGAGATCCATCCCTGATCAAATATAAAATACTGTAAAACATCTCAAAGGCGCGCAAGTAAAATGAGTATAACATATAGATGAAAGAATCAGAAGCATTAACAACTCAAGGGGGGCTCTCGTGGTCAAGAGGTATGGTGTGTGCCTCTTATTCAATAGGTCCCGGGTTCAAAACCTGAGAGCTATGGAAAATTTTCTTCTCTAAAAATAATTTTCTCCTTCCACCTCCTTGCCTGTTCTCCGACCATGTTCTGTCATCTCCACTTTCTGCCCCCATCCCCCCTTCCCTCTGCTTGGCTACTGACTCTTTCTGCTGCCTTTCTACTACAACTCCCTGGATCCTTTCTGCTGTCTTTCAGCCATACCGCTGATCTTAGGGTAGGTAAGATCCAACGCCTAGCCTTTTCGTATGAGGACAAAAAAATATCGGAGATCCTATGAGCAAGTTGCGCATGTTGATGAACCCTTGGTGGTCGTAAAATAAATAAGAGTAGGCTTCGGCCACCACCCAAGCAAAATTCAAAATTAATTCCTACTAAACTGAAAATACTTAATGTGCCCTCATATGACCTTATGCAGTTGAGAGCCCCCCGTAAAACATTTACCAAACCCCCCCCCCCCCAACTCAAAAGCTTAAACAGGTGTCCAAAAGTCATTATGCATTTTTAAAAGAGAAATTAGATGATGGAGGTTTCACTTTCCCAGGCTTTCAAAAAAGTTGAAAGACAGATGTCTGTATATGACAATGATAACAAACAGCTTCATTTTACCTAGATTTTTAGGGGCAGCTACACTGTTGAATTTCCACATAAAGGCTCTCAGAGTATACAAAACTGATAAGAATTAAAAACTTAACAGTTGAAAGATTGTCTGATTATAAATTTTTCAAAAACATAATATAATGTAAATATTGTACTGCCACCGTAGTATGATGCAATATTGGTGCAACAAACAACAATAAAAACTCCATTCTTTCCCTATATATATATATATATATATATATAATATATATATATATATATATATACCTAATTAATTATTCAGTTAATGAAATAGTCTGCACACAATAATCACAATCAAAGAGTATCGACCTAAGCCTAACCAAGCATTACCTGTGAAAAATCTAATACAGTATCCTCCGTCTAAATGCACGGTGCTTGCGTTTACACGGAGTGTGTGTTTAAGAAAACCTGTTCAAACCATCTCATTTCCTTGATATTTTAGTGACCTCCCTCAGGGAGTGGGGGGTTGCTTTCACTGATAACGCCATGAAATTTGACCGTTTTGTAAAGGAATCACCAATAGTGGTTATGACTACAAAGGCGTTGATGGATGAGTGGTGGAAAAAAGCAGAAAGACCGACTCACGGTACACTACATATGAGAACAGATAGGAAGAAACTGTTGTTGATGGTCATGGGGAAGAGACCTCTGCCACGTAGCTTTCCAAGCAACTATTCCCGACTATTCATCATCCATCATCCTTGCCTTTCTCACCATGGATCAGGATATAGGCCACGAACAAACACTTTCTACCTTTCCCTATCCTGGGCTAGTCGCTTGATGTCACCCCATGTCTACCCACTTTTCTGTACATCCATTTCCGTGACTCTTCTCCAGGTTCCTAGTGGTCTTCCCCTTGATCTTTTACCCTGTGGGCTCCAATCTAGCACTTTCCTTGTTATGCAGCTGCTTGACCTACTGACTGAAAATGTGTCCAATGCACCGCCAACACCTTCTTCCCATCTCATCTCTGACTGGGCTCTGTCTCGTTCTTCTTAATACTTCCCCGTTGGTGATCCTGTCTGTCCATCTGATCCTAAGTAGGTTCCTCAGACACTTGTTCAAGAAAACCTGGATCCTCTTTATGCAAGTCTGAGATGTGTTCCACGTCTCACATCCATACAACAAGACTGACTTCACATTTGAGTTGAAAATTCTCAGCTTTGCTCCTGACTATTGCAACTTGGTAAATGCTTGGATGACATTAGACATTGTGAAACACTTTTCAGTAATGATTTATTGAACAAGTACGTTATAAGTTCTTCAAGCGCAACTGATCACTTGAATAAATCATTAATTCTGTTGGCAGATCTACTGTTTTTCAGCATCCACGATTATTGTACATCATAGGCCAAACTAAACATTACAGTCATCTTACCACCAAAGAGAAACCATTTCTTAGAACACATTTCAAGTGACCAATCAAAAGACATTTCAGTCACCCCCAAAGACATCACTCCCCCAACCCTATGTGTACGTGAACAGTAGAGTAGTAGAATGGGACAATAATGGGACAATGCTATCCATCACTTTCATTGTGCTGCACAAGGAGCAGCCTTGTCAAATATGTGGTTGTCTAGACTTGTCTTTGTTATCATTATGCACATTGTCTAGGTTGTTGCAAACATTTCTCTTTTTCAAGCTTTACCTGTCAGTGTGTTTTGCAGATCGAAGCATGCATTTAGAAGAAGTGACCGTGCATTTGTACGACTAAATTATATAGCAAAAATCCTGTCATTTGACCGAAGCGTGTGCTTCAGCCAGGTGTGCCTTTGAACGATGTGTGTTTCGGCGGAAACTACTATATGCCACCACAAATGACCCTGACCTCAAATAAGTACAAATGTTACTCATTCCCAAAACATTTTTTTAACTCTTTCCAGATGTATCACCAATATATTGGCAGAAGTCTGTACCCCTTGCAGACGTATTGCCGATCTATTGGCAATGATGGGGTGCCTCAGTCTTGTTTCGTTTTAACATAATCAGTCATTTACAAATACTTATTATTGTTACAAGAAAAACTAGAATGGATTTGGGAAATGAGAACATCTAGATCTAGCTTCTCAATGTCAAAGCATCAGTTTAGTGAAAAACGAGTAAATTCATTATATTGCAGTTTTACACAACGGAACGATGTAACCGGACTCCATAGAAATATTACAACTCAAACAAAAATTGGGATATTGCTTTCAAATAAAAAAAGCTGTGCATTCAGAAATGTGAGGATTATGCTTTTGCTCTGGATTTGATTGGATAGCTATGCTGATTTACTTTCACAAATGTTAGGTGAGTGTATTTTTTTCTGTCGAAATGTATTTTTCTCATCACTATCACCCATTCTAACCCTTGTCGTGCACGCTGATGTTCAAAATTAATCCTTGTTTTTAAAGTTTAAATGTAATCCTCATTCAAATTTCCTTTAATTTGATATGTCAAGTTACCTTTTGAGTGACGGCTATGCTTATATGAAGTTATTTTGTATATCACCTTTATAGCTAGATCGAGCCAGAAATTAATTACATCTAAACCCCAAAAACACAATGTCCGGAAAGAGTTAATTAATATCAATATGAATAAATTTCATTAACTTCATGCAGAATATAATTTTGGTGCACCTATGAACATATGCTGGACAGCTTTCATAACCTGAACATCCACCGAGAGCTTCTCCGGAATAGAGACCATCGTTATGACTCTTCCAGCTCAAGTCTTGGCAGTTACACAATCTCTTTAAAAGTTTTGTAAATTCTTTTCCATCTTGGCAAATGGCTGTGGATAAAGGCAAAAAATATACAAGAGTATATTTCTAAGTGAATGTTCTTGTTTGTTTGTTTGAGTAAAGAGAAGCACATCAACACCGCAATGGTCATTTCGCGTTGGGAAAAAGTAAGACAGACAGACAGACAGAATCAACAGAGGGCAAGGAAAGAAGTAGGACCTACAAGTGGCACCTTCCAACCACCCGCAAGTGAATGTTCTAAGAGGAAAATAATTTGTGTGTTGACGATTATAATAAAGATAAAAATAGAATAACTGGCTGATAGATTGTATTTATACAGAGAAACTAGCTTGATGTTGCAAATATCAAAGTTGCAAACTGCTCCCACATTAGGTAAAAAAAAACACCCCATCTTCTCATACTTGAACAGTTGATCAAATCAGGAACTGTTTTAAAAGTTCTGTTAATAGGCCATATTTTTATAATAGGCAAAGTAGTTTTAATGGAAAAGAAAATCTACAAATTCAAATAGGATCAAAATGAAACAGTCTACAGAAGTAATTTTATGCTTGGACAGCAAGCTATACAAAGAGGGTATTGATAAATGTAAAACATTTATTCTGAAAACCAAAGTGATGGTGAGTGAGAAACAATTGAAAATAATCAAAACATCTAGCTTACCTCCATTCCAAAGAGGCATTTCACAATACATCCTCCGCCTGTATCAACAGTAACATATCCCTGGCGTTCGTACAAGTGCTTGGCTCGATTTCCATCATACACCCACAGATATATCACCTGCATGATCAGCACAAGAAGTGCTCCATTAGCTTAGGAAAATAATAAATAAGCGATAAAACATGATTTCTCACAAATTACCAAAACACAGGTTTAACCATTTGTCCCTGAAAATTCCCACTGGAGATGTCCTCAGAATGTCCAATTATGCCAGCGATTACCACAGTAACACCTCTAATCTTCTGGCGCTCATATGACCTTATGCAGTTGCGAGCACCATAAAACCTCTACTAAAAAAAATCATCTTAGGCTGTTCCACTCGATTATAAGCAGTTTGTGTGAAAGTAAAGTCCAACCTGCTTTAACAGACACCTGTACAAGACAATCACCTGTACAAACGGCAACTTTCCATTTCCTCCCTAGAGGTTTTTTTTTTCATGTTAATGACATTGTGTCACCCGTCTCAGACAGTCACTTTATTTCTCGAAGGTGGGTGGCCGTCATAAGCAGCCTTGAAGATAAAGGAACAGTGTTAGCTCGGGACTAAAGGACCTTGAAGTCGTTCAGACTCATAGTCTCAATGGGCGAATAGTAAAAACAAAACTTGTCCTAAGCATACGCATTTGAACCTGCTCTAACAGCCACCTGTACAAGACAATCACCTGTACAAACAAACACTTCCCACCTTGCAATTTTTCTGTATTATACTGACACTGTCCAAGACGTCCTACAGTCTAAGACAACCTCTTTAATCCTCGACAATAGGTGGACGTCTTTGACAATTTTGACTGTGACTACTTCTATGAATAAAAACAAGCTCAAAATGAACATAATCCAAGTGGGACGATTTCAACTAGGGAAAAAAACGAAACATTATGGCAACATTTTCTTCTATATATTTATGTTAAATTAGAGGCTACTTACATTACAATTGTTTCTTAAAGCTACTTCATCTGCAGTCTCCAACAAAGCCTTTCCAAGTCCTTTTCCTCGAAATCGCGCATCCACTGCAATGTGGTCCACATAGCATCTTCCTTGCCCAACAGATTCAGTCATGGAATCAAGCATAATGCCAAGCCTATGGGATGACCATGAAGAATAGACAGAATAAATAAAGGAACCACAAGACAGTGAATAATATTAATGAAATTTATATAGCACATAAAATCCACTCTCTACAGCATGCTCTACGCACTTTACACTTGTTAAAACCTCAGTGAATACTCAGAAGCATTCTGGGCTTTCCGAGAAGCTTATGATGCAAGTTAGGGGTTACATGCACTAAAACACTAACATATTAACAAGATCTTTTGTAATCTACAGCCGGCAACCCTTTCTCACCTGAATGAAGTGAGGAAAATTTGTGTAAAGAACCTTTTCCAAGGACACAACATCTGGCCCCTGATGGGACTTAAACCCCCCACCCTATGGTTGAGAGTTTGAGAGCCAATTCACTAGAATCATCAAGAGGGGGCAACTAGTAAATTGGAAGAAACAACACCCACACTACAACCAAGTTGACCCCAACTACCTCCTCACCCATCAAGAGCATGCTACTCTTTCCAGACTTGGAACAGGACACAACTGACCGAAACACCACCTCTACAAGAAGTTCAAGAAAACAAATTCAGAGCAATGTCAATGCAGAAGCCGCACCCAAACTGGGAACCATCTGCTGCAAGCCTACTCAATGCTTGATGCATTTAGCAAGAAATATTGGCTCAAACAAATGCTGAGAGACCCAAAACTCTATGGGGGCCTGGAGGACATACGATGAACAGCAGCCTTTGTACTAGAGACTGGGATGTCTATTTAAAGATGAACGAAAAGAAGAAGAAGAATTCACTTGTCCACCAATGCAATAAATCAGTCTTTCACCTAAATACACATGTAGTAATGAGATAGAATCCACACATGGCACCTATGGCCTTGAAGTAAAGCTCTCAGACTCGCAACCAGAAGATCATGGGTTCGAATTCCATCAGGGGCCCAATGTTGTGTTCTTCTTAGGAATGGCACTTTACATGAATTCTCCTCATTTTACTGAGGTGGAAATGGGTATCCAACAATAGACAGTGAAAGATCTTGTAAGTTTGTTAGTGTTTTGGTGCATGTAATCCGCTGCTCGCATTATTTGCTAACCAGAAAGCCAAGAATGTTTCTGAGTGTTCTAGGGTCTGCTGGGGTATTGATAGTTGTAAAGCTCATAGTGCATGTTGTAGAGCATGGATTGTGCTAAATAAATGCAATTATTATTATTATCAATAATAACAAGAGCAGAAATCATCTGAACACAACCAGCAACACAATTTGGATTTTCATAGGGTGAAAGCTAGCCTTTTCAGATAACTTTTATAAATACCTTTAAAAAAAAGCCTCATAAGCTTGAGAACCCAAACAAATGCAAAAAGACCTTAATTTAAGCATTTGGCAAGAGAGTCTTTCATGGATGACAACTAAGTACATGAACCCCTAACCTGTTGATTAAAAATTCCACAGATCATGCATTCAAGGCCTTCAGCATAAAATAAAGGCAAATTGAAGACATTAGCAGTCTTTATTAATAGTTCTCTTTTACTACTTCAATACAGGATGTTGTATAGGTAGAATATGAGAAGACAATGTAAAGATGAAGAGATAATAAGCCCATAAAACAAATAATCTCACCGACACATGACCCAACAACCCAGGCGTTGCGAGTACGGTTCTGAACTGCCCCCATGTGACCTGATAAATGAAATGCATACAAGAAATTAAAAATCTAAATTTAAAAACCTATTTCAACTTTGTCTGACATCAAGAGAAAAGTAATCACTCTTAAAGTTTCCAATTCTTCCTACCAGTTAGGAGAGCTTGACAAATCTAAGACTCCGTCATTTTAGGAGGCGGATATGGATTTCAGTTTACTTAAGTCTCAAGACTAAATAATCACCACTCACTTGGTTTGGTCTCATCGAGGATGGACATTAAATTCTGGGCTTCCTCCTGCAACCAACCTTACAATGCGGAAAAAGGAGTTAAACTCATACAATATCGTCTGAAAGAGACATAAAAAGCCCTACAAAATCTGTGTGTGAGACACAATTGGAAGTCTATAATGACACATGTTACAACGTAAACTCATCAAAAACTTTTCACTTTACTTGTCTCCATGAAACTTCAGTTCCATCAGTCCAGCAGGCTGTCCATCCACAGTGGCAATGAAGATCCGATGGTAAATACTTCCCATACTTCTGTGGTCTATACTCGATGCCTCCATGACTTTATCAAGGCTGAAAAGGAAAAGTTATCTTTCATGGTAAGATGAAATAGAATGCTAAGGAAAAAAAAGTTATCGGATGAGCCCTGTTAATACCATCAAAATCAACAAGGAATATAGGCTAAGTTTAGCATAAATCTACCACATCACCGTTATCATAAAATAAATTAGAAACTTCATTTGGCCCTGAAGGAGAGAAAAAGAGTCAGGACAACTACAAATCAATTCCACAACTAACACTCTACTAGACACAATGTAGGTGGTCTAAAAACGAAAATGTAGAGCATATGATCCCTTATCAAGCTACTGGGCCTTCAAAACATTATAGCCGATAAGAAAAAAGATAATAGACTGAGCAAATAAACAAGAAATCAACAAAATGTCATTAGCACTTGACAAGAATACCATGCATGTCTAAATCTTTAAAATTAACAGAATACCATTAGTTTTGCTTAGCTATCATTTCACAGTACTTTCCTTCAAGTTATTGCAGGTCTGAAGTATTTTTGGAATTCAAGAGTCTGTTCTGCTATCATGCATACTGAGGTAAAGTCTTTGGGAAATCCTACTGATGTGATCAACGCAAAGAAAAAAAATACATTGACTCTCAATCTCAGTCAAATTATAAATGCCCAACTATCACCAATATCAATTCACCTCACTGAAAGCTTCTCTCAACAGTTTTTCCCCCATCACACCTACACCTGTCCCATGTAAGGGTGAAGAATGCTACATTTATTCGCTCATTGCCTGCAGGAGAACATCTCAAATCTGTTAGTTAGCCAGAAAATATGGAAAGTGGACACAAAAACCTTGAATTTTGCCACACTGTAATGAAATGTGTAAGTAAATTCAGTTTCAACGACCAACTATTAAAAAATACAAACTAAAGATCATAGTCAATGTAATAGTTATCTAAACATATCATATTTGTGAAAGTTCATCACTCTGGCCGCCTAAAACTTCGGAACCACTTAACATTGGAATTTGACAAAATTAAAGGTGGTTCAGAATCATTTAAAAGGTGCACAGTTCTATTGAGGAGCCTGAAGTCACTGTATTTTAATTTTCAGTTTTTCATTAGTTTTGTTTAGATCTAATCTTGGGAAAGTCTGTCTTCTAAAACGCCATTGTAAACAAGTGAGATTTCTGTTCAATAGCTGTGCACATTTTTTCTACACCTTTGAGATTCTGGAGTGTACAACCACGAAAGCAGAATAGAGAATCAATCTATACATCACTATATCTAAATCTTCTAATTTTTTGCATCTCTCAGGATTTATTGCTCCATTCCAGTAGAGTGTAAATATAGTAGGCCATTGACTTTCAGTGGATGTTAAAGCACCGATCATTCCTTTCATCAAAAGGGGGCCTAGCTAGTTACATATATTGTTAACAACATATGATTTTATGTACTTCAAAAGTATAATCAATACTCAGAGAATTGATTTTGAGCATACTTTTGTTACTTACTTTCTTTTTCCAACTGCATGGATGAATTTGCTCTCAAAACCTTCCACCAAAATTCTTCCAGCAAATTCACTGTCTTCAACCTTCATTGTTCTGACTTCCACACCATTAGGAAAAGACTTCACAGGAACTCCTTCACTAAACGGTTGATAGTGAACAGCCGCCATGGCAGCAGACAGGTTATGTTGTGCTTGAAATACAACAAGGCACCTTCGCAATTCCTGAAAATGCAATGGTAATAAATTGATAAAACAGAAATAGCCAGTATGAACTAGCTACCTGGAGCTTGGGGCTTTGACTGCCATGCACTGCTTCCACACGCCACAATAGGTGCGATTAATTAACACTGTTTTGACGTCACTACATTTTGGAAATATTTACTTCATAGAAATTTTTTTAAAACAACAACAAAAAATTACAAATTCCAATATATTGATCCCCTTGATTCATCTTTTACAGTGCAATGATAGCCTAAAATCTGATTCACAAAATCGGGTCGTGAACTAAGCACAGACGAATTAAAGTTTATTTACAGACGCCTAATATATATACCCATGTGCGCATTAATAGTAAAACAACTTTAGTTTAACTGGACTACTTTTGAACGTAGGTGTCGTGTAACTCTGCCTTTAAGTCGCTACATTATGAATTTAATTTGTACTCTTATTTCTTATTCCACACAAAGCGTTACATGATTAATGATCTCTTCTCAACTATCTAACAACATTTATAGACCTGCTGACCCATTCGTTCGCCCCAAAAGAAATCAACGGAAATCCTGGTAGATGCATCAACCATTTGGTCTAGGTGCAATGCTGACCCAACATGGCCGAGTAGTCTGCTATGCA